ACATAACGTACTGTCACACAAGTAGCACTACGCGCGAACCTCCTTCTTTAATTTGTTTCCTGTTTCTTTCTCAATCTACTGATTTTTATAACATCCCGAATTTTCCCGTAACGTACCCTTAAAACTCCCGCAAAATTTAACACTTGTTCCTATTCAATTATCTAAGCCTTCTTGCTTAATTTGCTCAGATAATTATCCAGTGCTGCTCTGTGTCGAGATAACAACCACAGTAGCCAGGCAGTTGTTGGTTATATCTATCTTTTAACGGATCTAGGCTAAAAGACTCGATATATCTCAAGCACAAAACCAGGCACTCACCCCATTACATGCGGTTGTGGTACGCTGCGCCGATCCCGCCGAATCCCAGGGCTTTCGGCTAACCTCCGGTTCATGTCGTTCTCCGTCGCAGAGTCGTATCCCACCGCTGCTACCAGTTGTTATGACCGAGGTTCGCAGGCACTGGAGGTCCGGAATGAAGTTGTCGAGGCAGGAGGAAGGGAGGCTTGATGAGGGTTTATTTACAATATGTACATGGTGAGCTCTCTTACATGATGAGCTCTTTTTTTACATGATGAGCTCTCAAATCTGGCGTTCCTCTATAAGGTGCTCTCTCAAATGAGCCGGGTGGCTCATTATAAAAGGTATGTGCTCCCCAGATCCCTAGATCAGGGAACACGTGCAGATGGTACTGTCCAATCACAGATCACACACAACTGGCAAGGGGGACGAGCATGCACGGCCCACGTGAACGTCCAATATTGAGGCCTGACTCTGCAGTCCAAGTTGGCGCCAGCGGAACTCTTCCTCGTCGTGTGTGTGCCACTGGTCGAGGGGTCCCAAGCTCATGATAGCATACTTCAAAGGGCCCACCGAACTGCTCGCTTAATTAGCGGGGCGATTTGCGGCGGCCGTCGCGGTCTCTTGCAAGGAAGATGCTGTAATTGTTGTCCTCTACCAAACGGCTTATGGCATCGTGGCGACACGACGTCTCATCCTCCTGCTAGTTGGGACAATGCCTGGCGGTCATAGGCAGCCAGCTGGTCGGTTGCTTGTTTGAGGATCCAACGAGCGCTGCTCCCTCGTCAGCTCTGGCGCCAGTCACAACAGTATTTATAAACCGTGGTTCACACCCACATGTGGCAGCGATGTGTCACAAGATGCGTGTGCTTATCCTAATTTTTGTTAAATTTTTGCTTGGGTGGAGTGTAAATGCGTGAGTGTTTATAGCACTTCCAAGTTGCGCTATATTTACCTATATTATGATGAATTGCCAACTAGCCCAACAACGAGTTTCATTAATAAAATATGAGTGGTCGCTTTCTAATACATCGGACTTACATTTACCCGTGCATTGCGGAGAGGGTATGAACCTGTCTTTAATGATGTGACAGTATAGTTTTCAGGAGTAACATATTCTTAGACTGCAATATATTGGAGGCCTTCCACTTTAACAGAAAGGGCGAAAGATGTGTCAGCACTCCCTCTATCAGTTTGTCTGACGAGTTTGATTATCTACGACCCATGTGATTATCTTTGACCATGGTTATTTCTTGGCTAAGCGGTTTTTCATGTTTTTTCGTTGCCAGTGGCACATTGTCCTTGCGGCAGCTTTTTAGCGTTGACACGTTGTCGGGGTACTGATACTTTCCTGTAAAGTTGTTTGTGCCGCGTGGCACTTGTGACTCGCGCAGAAGTCGTGTTTTAAGGTCACGATTATTGAGCAATAGGTGGCGTTGTGTATGCGAGTGGTGATCGCCGCTATTATCATCATCATGGTTATTAAAGCCGTAGCGCCGGCAGTGACCCCTGGCGGCAGGCAAGCATCGGTGGCGGCGCGCAAGAAATAAGCTGGCCTCTTAGGCTGGTGGCGTTTGGCGGGAACGGTTGCTCTTGCGGTGTGTCCCCGGTGCACGGCACCGGGGACTGTCTGCCGGGGTCCTGCGCGGTGAGTCAGGAGTTGGTGACATCCCCGTTTGTGTGCTGTTGTGGTTGTTATGTTGCTACGTGCTGAGTAATATTGTGTAAGGATGTCTTTGCGGGTTAGTTACAATTTATGTATAATAGTAATTCGGGTTACGATATCATCGTTCTAAAGCAGTGAAATAAATGTGTGTGTTGTTGGATTTGCTCCGACCGTGTCCACTGTGTCCATTCACTCCAAGAGTGGGGTGGCGATTACCACCTCTAGATCCTACACTGGCGCCCTACGTGGGGCTCTTGGAGCATCGGATGACAGTTTTTGCGGTTCAGTACAAGCTTTTGTTAGAGCCGGGGTAGAGTAGGCCTAGGGCGACTTCTTTGCTAGCGTTGGCGGTGTGCTTTGTTGAGAGCGAAGAGATATGTATTTGTGACGTGTCTGAACTTGTCGGCAGGTTGAGTTTTGATTTTTTTCTGCTTGCAAGTGTTTTTTTTTTCATTGTTGGTGTGTTTTCAAGAATGTTGTTGAGTTGGGACGAGAGCCATGTGGTCCGCATCCTGGGGTGAGCAAGGCTTAGAGCATGTGGTTTGTAGGCCAGGCCCGAAGCAAGTTAGTACTGAAGCCTCGCGGGTGGTCCGATTTTCTGTAAATAGCTTCTTCTCTTTTGCGCTCGGGGAGCCGGGCATTGTTGTTGTCTGGATTGCAGCTCGATGCCAGGGTGTCGTGACACCATCCGGGATGGTGGACGCCGTTCGCTCGGTAAGCTGCTGTGTGCAACGAGCGATAGGGCCACCTTACAGAGTGGATGCCTCCTTGCGGCTGCCTCTTTTGCGCCTAGGCTGGGTGCTGGGTGGATGCCGGTTGTGGCTCTGCGCAGCCGCCTGTCGCACGTGGCACAACTAGGTGGATCGGGGCGTTGAGTTCTTGCACTCTGCTTCCCTCGCTTTTTTTTATCTTGCGATGCACGAGTTAGAGAAAGCGACTTTTGTTTTATTTTGTTGGGCTTCTCGGCCGCCGCCGATGCTTGCCTGCCGCCAGGGGTCATTGCCAGCGCTACCGCTCTGGCAACCATAATGATGATGATAGCGGTGATCACCGCTCGCGTACACAACGCCACCTATTGCTCAATAGCAGTGACCTCGAAATATGGCTTCTACACGAGACACGTGCGCCACGCGGCGCAAACAAGTTTACAGGGGAGTGTCAGTGCCTCGACATCCTCCCAATTTTAATTCAAACCATATTTTGAAAAGAAAAGAAATCCGCTACACAAGCTCTAACAAAAAATGACAACACATGTCTCGATAAAGAATGTCCGTGCACGACGACACCGCCGCCGGTTGACACTGCTGCACTGTCCGGCTCGACGTCTTCACCTCAGTACCAGTTCCTGCAACAGCAACGTTGCCGTCGGTACGACGAACCGTCACTCCTGCCGAGACGCCTTCCAGTTGCGACCAGAACTCATGAGGACGCCAGACTGCAGGCAGCTGCGCAGGTCTCAGGCATCTCCATCGCCCGACCCACGCAAATCGCTCTTTCAAAACACTCATCATGGGTCTGTGCGTCCCACGGGAAAGATGGTTGGTTCTATAAATTTATATCCTTTCCCTTTGTTCAGAGCCCCAAAATAATCATTGCACTGTTAAATTTCCGAAAGCAGCCTACCTGCTTGATAAAATCTGTCACGTTTGTGCAGACGCACTTGCAGCATAACAGTGCTGTCGTAGCTGCTACGCTGTCAGTGGTTCATAGCGTGCCAGTTGAAACTGAAGTTGCCGTAAGTCGGCGCATTGATGCAGTGGACTGCTGCGCCACCTGTATGTCCCACACGTTTTCCACGCGCTTAGTACCTAGTCTTCAGGCATGTTTATAAGGCCATGTTGAGGTGGTACTATGCAAAATAGACACTTCATAGTGTTTGTCATGATATGCTTGAATAAAAGATCCTACGCTACGTAACCCCGTGCAACTAATAAAATTTTATACTATTTAAAGGAAGATCATAATTTAAATTCTTTATTCTAAAGCATCCCCACCCACTGGCACCAGCTGCGTTCCTGAAAGGTAGGGCTGTAAATACTTCTGGAATCAATTACAAACTGTGCTTGTCATGTAGACTTATTGTGTACATGTGCTGTTCTCGTTTATGAAATTATGTGCATAATTATGCAGTGATATGTAGGAATGTTGATGGTCACGAATCGGACCATTATAAAGCAGGTAATTCGTGAGGCAAAATGATCGCGGCTACTTTTTTTTTTTTTTTCAGTTAGTAATCATCACTATCTGTGTTAATAACCATTACCAACTGCGTTTGTAATGGCTACAAACCTATTTGACAAGTACGGTACATAGTCGGTAAGCCAAAGTTAGTACATACTGAAATCTTTTTTTTAAGGTGCATTGACACCGCTATGTGATGGTCTCTGCAAGTGCCACAACAGTACTGGTAGTCTATGACTTCGAGGGGTTGTTTGGTGTCCATCCAGGTTTCAGAAAGGCAAAGTACAGAGGCATGCTGAAGAATGGTATTGTGATGCATGTCCTTGGCATCTGCGCAAGGACGCAAACATTTGAGCACGGATAAAAAGTGGGGCTGCTTAATGAGGCATAGCACCTAACAATGACGATTATGAGTTTGTGAGACTGCAACTGACGAAACTTATCGGCTAAGGGGTCTGAATTGGGTTTCCCGTGATAGAATCGGAAGTCGTTGTCAACATTGGTGAGATAGAGCCTGTTGATTTAAATATAGATCGTAAATTTTTGGCTGACACCCATCCTGGGGGATTGGGCAAGAATGAAGTAGCTTAAATATAAATAATATATGTCTGCAGGGCAATTTAGGGCCACGCATAATAGTCTTTTTATTTGCTTGCCCAACTCATGTGGCACGTGCTTGGTTTTCTTTTGACACTTGCACCTGCTGTACGCGGTAGTGGGGCTTGTCCGAGTCCTGTGGCACGCACTCGTTCTTGCGGTTACATCCCCGATGGTTCATGCAGGAACAGGCGCCAGAGGGCTGTGCTCTATAAACCTAAGTTACAACTGAAGCCTGACAAAATCTCTTCCTGTGCAGTACTACTGTGTGGCAGAGGGTGCCAGTCCGCTGCTGACGCTGAACGACATGCAAGAATGTGGTGAGCTGACAGTGGAGCAGAAGCGGATGCAGATGAGCAAGTTCAGTGACAAGTTGCGTGACCTCGTGAACACCAATGCAGCTTGTCGGTCACGCATTCTCTTAGTGGAGTATGAGGGTGCGATACATTTTTTTTTCTTTCCTGTTACACTTATATACTATGTGCACTTTCTTGTAGAAGGTCTTTATGTTAAAATGTTATACGGTTTCGTAAAAGACCACAAAGGTGTCATGCGTGTCGTCTCATGAAGCGTCATGTTGTACGTGAAGGTAACACTATGGTAAAGTGTCCCAAATATTGCTGTCCAGTGTGTGTGTAGGACATACTTACCGTGGCGACTGTATGTATATCTTCTCTCTTGCAGTAGAATTCTGACAGCCCATTTGTCTTCGGGTGATGCGCTGTTTTCTTCCCATCAGCCACTTAGACCTCATCACATCCACCAGTTGCAGTGCGTCAGTGCGTGTCTTTATTGATATGGTACTGCACCCTCTCTTCATGGAAAAAGAGGGTTCTTGGCTACATGATTCTGCATGCCCTTTCTCTTCATAGGGAGAGGGTGCAGCACCGCGTCAAGGAATCCACTTGCTGCAACAGAACGATTGTATGTGGTCAGGGCTTTAGTCTTAAAACAATGTCCAAAAGCTCTGCCGTGAACCAGGGTCCTCTGTTTGTAATGACTACTTCCGGAGTGTCATGCCTTAGAACAACAGCCCCGAGGAAAAATCAAAGCTCCTGTCCACCGCTGCAAAATTTCTGCTTCGGCATATAGAGTAAGATAATCATGTGCAACACAATATATCTATTGTCGCCTACATACTCGAAAGTCACCGAGCATGTCTGTGTCAATTTGTGCGAATGGTGTTTTCAGTTCCTAAGCTGGGTGATGCACGTAAAGTGATACACATATATACATACATACAGTGACGACACGGGATCAACAAATAAGTGATAGACGATCGACAAAGAGGCTTTATCAAACTCTGCAAAAAGGCAACCTTGTCATGACCAAGTGTATTCGCGCTGCTTTTTTGTCCTTGGCACTAGATCATATGCTCAGGCTTCATTCAAGGCACGTGAACAATTTGTGCTGAATGTCATTGGCACTTTGAACTCTGAGGGCCGTCGGGAACAATCTCGTAATTCACCTCGCTGATTCGTCAGAGAGCCTTGTAAGGTGTGAAGAATCTCCACAACAGTTTTTCGGAAAGGCCACGACGGCAAATGGGTGTCTAGACCCACTTTTTGTCACCGGCGTTGTATGTGATGGGTCTGTTCTGGAGATTGTAGTGCTGAGCGTCACTGTTCTGTTAATCGATTATCTGCGACCGGACAAGTTACCGAGCTTCTGCTGGCTGCGTAAAAACTGTAGCGTCCGTCTCATGAGCCTCCTTTTCATGGGGGAGCATTGCGTCTAACGTTGTTCTAACATCACGGCTGTAAATGAGACTGAATGGCATCTTCTGAGTGGTCTCTTGACGAGCCGTGTTGTACGCAAACGTGACGCAGGGTAGGATGTCATCACAATTCTTGTGTTCTACGTCTGTGTTCATGCTGATCATGTCAGCCAGGGTCCTGTCGATACGTTCAGTCAGCCCGTTGGTCTGGGGATGGTATGCCATTGTCTCCTTGTGCGCAGTACGTCTGTCGGTGATAATTACTGCAGAAGCGCTGTGCTTTAAGACGATGGCTTCGACAAAGAATAGCGCGACTTCAGCTGCTGTTGCTTGTCGCAGAGCGCCTGCCTCAGCGTATCGGGTGAAGTGATCGGTAGCGACAATGATTCACTTGTTTCCGGTGATAGACGCTGGAAAGGCACCTAGAAAGTCCATACTAATTTGTGCAAATGAAATTGTTGGCGCTTGCACAGGCTGCAACAGGGTGGCTGGCGTAACGGGTGGTAGTTTGCAGCACTGACAGTCCCAACACGTCTGCGCATAAATTTTCACGACCGCGGCAAGTTTCGGCCAGTAATAGGTTTGTCGTTCGAGGTAACGATTCAGCGGTAGCAGGTAAGTGTCATCTTGCTGCTGGCGTGAAAAGACAGCAGTGTCCACGACACCCAAAAAGGCCATGTCGTTGCCGTCGTGCTCCGCTGCTTTAACGGGAGACCAAGAAAGAATGTCGGCAACAGCGTGTCATGTCGTCTACCTGGTTTGTAGGTAACGGTGAAGTCGAAACTGTTGGAGCCAAAGACTCCAGCATGTGAAATGGAATGAGGGATCTTTCAAATTCATTAACCAGCAGAGTGAACGGTGATAGCTAATACAGTGCAGTCCACTTATAACGATATCGAGAAAACCTAAAAATATGATCGTTATAACCGGTGATCGTTATATCTGGACTGCCGCCAAAAAATCGTCGCCGGACGTACCTTTTGTAGCTCCAGGCTTCATTTTGCTATTTTCACCAATTAATAAATATTGTAGATAGTAGGATGTCAAAAACAAGACTTTATTTCTTACTCCGAAGAACGCATCACGGGTTCGCTAAGGAAGAGAGACTGACCGACGGCGGGGTGGGAGCAGTGGGAGGAAGAAAGCACAGCCAGAGGTACACAGCCGGAATGCCAACGAGGCCCCGCCCCCATGCCGCCGCGCCGCTTTGCTTTTCGCTTTTTTTATTTTCTCTCTCTTTCCTGCCTTCGTTCGGCAAGCTACGAGTAGCTTGCCGGCTTGCCGTTGTAGAAGGCGGGGAGCCGCGGAGCGCGGCGCTTTGCTTTTCGCATTTTTTTTTTAAATTCTCTCAGCCTCTCCGCGGTCGACGCGCGGCGAGGCGCAAAACGTGACACAGCTGGCGCCATCTGTAGCGCGTCGCGCCAACTCGCGATGCTCTCCTCGGCTTTTTGAACGGCCGGGACGCGCTGCCGGCGCTGTCCTGCAGTGGCGGCAGATACGTACTCGCCTACGCTAACTTTTCGTCTTGTCTCGGCATAGTTCGTTTCAGAAGAACTTATCAATCTAAATGTTACGATTATTCTGAATGAAACATGCCGTCCACGGCAAACTTTTCATCGTTGTATCCGATATGCGGTGGATAACATATCGTTATATATGGTTTTTTTCCCCATAGCCCCAATGCATAAAATGAGACTGTTAAGTCGACCCATCGTTATAACCGATATATCGTTATATGTGGTATCGTTATAAGTGGACTGCACTGTAACTATGAATGAGTGACTGAGTGGTAATCGCTGATAACTATGAATGAGCGACGGTTCAAATACGGATCAAGTTTGATGACTGGCCATACCATTGCGAGACATTCTTTCTCGGTCGTCGTGCAGTTGGCTTTTGTTTGGGACAGTGTCCTGCTGGCATAAGTGATCACCTTTTCACTTTACTAGCAGCATGTGTATATATATATATATATATATATATATATATATATATATATATATATACATATACATGGCACAATAAGCTTGTCTGCACACAGTCTCGGTCTAGGAATTGTAATGCCAGTATCCATTGGCCGAGAAGCAACAAAGGACTATTGGACGAGGTAACCTCAACTTGCCATCAGTGACAGAGATCAGCGAAAGTTTGTGACCACATCAATAAAAGGACACTAAAGTCAAATAACAATTTACGTCGGGGTGAAAGCTCCATGTATGACATCTAAAACAACAATATTATCAACAGCAGTGCCCCACCTAAAAAGAAATTAAGGTAAATGCATAAGAATACATACGCCGCAGTAGAACATGCTCATAATGATACCGATTGAGACATGAGACGAACCACCTACAATTAATCACTAGTAATCCATCTAGCTGCACTTAATAGAGAACTTTTCGTGCATCAAGCGACACAATAAAATGCTGCTTGTTTGTTTCTGCTTCATTCTTAGAAAAAAGAACCATCAGATGTTATTACGGTGAATGGCGCGAGTGGTTAAAAAATTTAATTTTCACATGGTTAAACTGGACAGGTCATGCCATATAGCAGGGCACAGCTAAACCAAAACACGTCTGCCATCTCAGAGCCTATAGTAGGAAATTGATCAATGGCCGTTGTTACTGCTGTGACTCCCGCTGCTTTCGTTCTGTCTACTATTGTCGACGACCAGGCAGCAAAGCCAGGCAACGTGCACTGCAACAGTGACGTGAGTCAGTCCGCTTCTTGAGGCAGGTAGATTGAAGTGCACCAAGTCGATGCGGGCCACTAAAGCGAGATTTTCTTTCAAACAAGCCCTTTCTTGGCAAAAAAGTAACACTACAAGGTTTCTGGACCGCTATTTCAACGATCAATGTCAACTTAATAGCTGCCTTTAGTGTCCTTTTAATGAATACAATTTGGCATAGTGAAAAACTTGTCATTTTAATAAGCCTGGTCCGTGATGCGGAGAGGTGCTGTATGTGCCCTCCCTTCCCCCACCTGAAATTCAAATGGTCGGATTTTTTTACCGTGAGTGAATAGGGTTTTTTTCCAGGTCTTCAACAAGTGCCTCCCCCCCCCCCCCCCGAAAAGTATTGTTACAAGGCATTCATGAGCCCACTGTGGCAGACAGAGAGACAAAGAAGAAGGCTGGTGTGCTGTACGAGATTCTGGTGACTATTCAGTGGCACATTTGCTTGTAGATATTGTATATATATTTGCCTCTGTCTCCCTTGCGGCTTCATGTTACTCATGACAATTTGGTGTAGGTGCAGCGTAAAAGAAGTGCTGTACAATGGAGCTCCACGGTCGGAGTTTTCATAATGGAAAACGAGTCCGATGACTCAACTACCTCTCCATCGGCCATGACGTTTGCACCGGCCACTCTAGCGCCTGCATCCGCTACAACACCGCCAATATACGTTCTGACGCATCTGAAAAACCCTGGGACGTTCTTTGGTACGGATGAAGTCGACGTCGAAGCATGGATTGCTGACTATAAACATACCAGTGCAATCAATTCCTATGACCCGACTCTCATGCTGGCTCACGTGCTATTATACCTGATAGGTACATCAAAAGTATGGTACGAAAATTATTAGGATGACATAAGAAGCTGGACACTCTCAAGCAAGAACTTGGCTTATTTGGGAAGCCCATGGGTAGAAAAGCTGCCGCAAAAAAAGAGCTCTCCATCCATGTTTAGACTTCCACTGAGTCGTACATCATGTATATTCAGCACGTGCTGGCTCTTTGTCGTCAGGTGGACAGCGAGACGTCAGAGCAGGACAAAGTTGGCCACGTGCTGAAGGAAATAGAGGACAAGAGGTCCAACCTATTAATGGGCTGGAATTTTGCGATCGTCGACGAAATTATATAAAAATGTGGGCGTTTTGAAGAGGCCAAAAACCGGTGTAACTCAATGTCGTTCATGCCAAACACCGCTGTGACGTCCTAATGCGAAGATGGACTGACTTCTCGCCTGCTGCCGTCAATGGCGGCTGAACTGACACGAATCGTTCACCGGAAAACATGAGCAATTGCACCTGCTCTTCATAAAAACGGCAGTGTCGATTTTCACATGCCCTCGGTTTCTCTGGTGCAGTCAATTGTGCAGGAAGAACTCTGCAACTTGGGCTTCATTGTCAGCACTGTTGCTCGATCTCAGATGACTGATTACCGCTCAATAGCGCCACCTCGCCCCAGGTCGTTGCCCCAGGAAATGTTCTATCCACGCTCTTGCCCAGGTCATTGCTCAGGCACGATTCTATCCACGCTCTCGCTATCCGGCTGAATAGTGAACTGCGGATTATTGCTGATCTGTTTCAGCTAGCTGTTGCCGCATAGGACACGTCGCACGGTGCTGTGACGACAGCTGGTCTTCGCCAGAACCCAGCATGCCACTGCTGGTCGTGCCAACATCTAGCACCTTCTCCAGCCCCCTGAGCCGTACGCCGCTAATGACCACCATTCCCAACCTTTTGAACCTCACGATGCCTCAGCTATGTCACACAGCCACTCACTTTCGCCCCGAGGTCAGCTGTTCCATTTGCCGCCAGCACACCGCCTGTCGTCTCAGTAGCTTTAGCGACGGCGTCTGACATCGCCACTCAATCTACGACAAGAAAACTAAGAGATGCAGCTCTTGTAGGTGATGCTGCAGCCTTGATTCTGACCTCAAATTTTCCCTTTGTACTGCCAACACGACCAATAAATGATCGACTTTGACGATGACGGCCTTATTGTGTCTGCACTTGTTGACACTGGCCCACATATTTCTGTGATAAGTGCTCGACTTTCCCGCCACCTGAAGAAAGTGCTGACCCTGGCTGCTCCCGGTATTATTTGAGTAGCCGACGGAAGAAGTCCTGTTATCATAGGAATGTGGACAGCATGCATCATCGCCATTACCGATCATCACACAACTATTTTGTTTGCTGTTCTTGATCCATTTCCAAGTGACTCCATTCTCGAATTGGATTTTTCGTCCAGCCATGCCGCTCTTATTGATTGTGCAACTGCCATTCTCCAACTTGAACTGCCTCGGCTTGCTGATGTACCAGCTTCGTCGACACACCACTTGTGCTCTGTCGATTATGTTCGGCTGTCACCGCAAGCCGCCATGTGTGTGGCCTTGACGACTTCACCACCACAATGGTCAACTCCACAACAGCGAGCTGATTTAGTTTCTGCAAGCAATGCAAGCAACGATTTAGTTTCTGCATGCGAAGAACTGTTCTGCACAACAAGGCGGCAGTGATCGGCGGCCCAGCCTGCTCATGTAGTCACCATCTATCAGAGGCATGCAGTAGGCTTTAAGTGGCACTACGCCACACGTGTTCACGAGCCTGAAGATACTGTGGTAAGGCTTTTGGTCGGGGATAATTCTCACTGACGTGTTTTTTGGTAATCGCTACATTGCCTGCGTTTTTTCCGATGTTTATCAAATCACCGCTGGTATGACTTATCGCCGACAACTTTACCGCAGCAAGTATCTAATTTTGCTGTTTACCCGGGCACCCGTGTCATGTAGTGCCACTTTAAGCCTGCTGTACACTTTTAGCTGGCAATTGCCGCCCATTGTTGCGCGTAACCATAGTCGAGCGCGCACACCTTTGTAGAAGCAGGGCATGCTTTGGAATTAACATTCTGTCCACTTGCTTTCTTTGTTATCGAATTCAATATATATGTTGTGTGTATATTTAAACAAGAGTTTAACAACAGTTTGTTTTTTACCTTGGGACCCTGGCCTGTGTAGTTGATTTTGAAATAGTTGCGGAGTTGATCGTTTCGAGTCATGCACCAAGAAACCTCGCTGCATTCATGCTATCACTATAACTGCTGGCGTATGGCACAGCAATCGTGGCACTGTGATAGCCGTACTGCATGCTTTTATTAGACCTCTGTCTGTTGCCAGGACAGCTAAAGTATCGAGGATTGTGCATCGTTTGCAGAAACCTAGTGTTTCAGCGGGACTGCATCGTTGCCACTGATATTGAAGTGGATTGCGTCTGCTATCACAACGGCTAGCTGTTACACCATTATAAAATGCAGCTGTGCAAGTGTACGAGGTGGCAACCATCACATTATTCTGATCCCAATGTGTGCAGTTGACATTGATTTCGGTTTCAAAACCACTTTGTGGCGCATCAATAGCACGCATTTGACAGAAAAAGCCCTTTTAATGTAGTATCATGCAGTAATTTTTAGTTGGTGCAGATTGGTGCAATTGGCGCAGATTTCTCGCCTCTGCAATTTCTTGACACAAATTTATTGTTATTTTGCTATAGCCTCGTGCTGGTTTCGAGATCACGAAAATGTCGATGCTGAGACGTAGCCAATTAGCTCATCATTTCTTTAGGCGGTGAATATCTCGTTTTTTACGGCTGTAGTGCACAAAGCTAGACAACAGACGAAGGGGACAATGAAGACAAGCACTAAGTTCCAACTAAGACTTTACTGCAAAGCACCAAAAGTAGATACCTGTGACATGACATCACAATCATTTCAATCAATGCACAAAGATGAAGACATAATAAAACTAAGCAGCAGAAAATTTTAGATATAAAACCGACGTGCTGGTAAATTCAAGTAATCTAGTTCTTTATTTTGTTTTTGTAAAAATATAGAACACCAACTATTCCGCTCCCATACCTTGCTTCAGAATATCTAGTGTTCCAAATATTCACCACACCTTAAGCGCTTCAGTTTCGCAAAATTGTGTATAAGATCCGAGCTTTGTCTGGGAAATGAAAATTGATGGTGACTCTAAAAGCCAGATGATAAGGTAGCGTTCTGGTTAGCACAGCGTATTCAAAAGTGCACAGTGTCTTCAAACTGACAACGTGGATCATCTCTCTTGAATCAGCTTTTAATGAAAGGGTCTGGAATTATGTCAAATTAGTTGGCAATTGTGGGCATGATGAGGATCTTAACAACCTTTGATTAGTTAAGGAATACGTAATCACTGAACAAACTGGCCTCACCAGAAAAAAATAGTTATGTTTTAGGCGCATTGCTAAGACATCTCAATTTGGCACTACTGGGCCAAAGTGTAAAATTTTTTCATGTCAGCTCATTTCAGCATTAGAATTGTGTTAGGACGGCCACATATGCCACTATCTTCTTTTTTTCATCCGTTAAGGTAATTAATCCTTGTTCCTGCTCTTTCGTTTTTTTTTCTTAGACATGACTGAAGATAGCCGTTCGGTACCTGTCTCGTCTATCCTCCGGAATGCCATCAGGAAGGAGCAAGGGCTGACCTAATTGATATGTTTTTTTGCACAGACACTTATATCAATAAATGCAGAATTTTTTTCCCCATTACTGCTCCTTGTGTGATATCATTGAAACTTCTCAACTTTGGTTTTATCAGAAGGTGGATTTGTAGATTAAGTGAAGCGTTATAGATCGAACTTACCATAAAAACGAACATGATTGAACCTTCGTTATGGGAATTGGTATGACATGAAAGTGAAACATGTTCATAAATATAGATCTGACCCCTTCTGTCCCAATTGCCCCTTTGCATATGCCGACTAGTGGTACTGCCTTTTCCAACTGCTCAGCAATCCAGCTCTTACGGCTTCCACCTTCTCCTTCCATCACCACCTGGCTCGACTAGATCGGTACCGATGGGCAAGAATAACAGCATCGACTGGTCTGCAGCCCGTCGAAATGCTCGGCGTTTACTTTGTGGCTCAAAATAAAGGCCCATCACTACTACAGAAGTAGTAAAACGTTGTGGGAATTCAGGCGTCCGCACAAGTTGCTAGGCGTCATTTTCCCTGGAAGAGTTCTCGCATTGCTCTCCCGTTAAGACGAGGATGAATGGCAGCTGGTTATAAATCGCCGCCACCTTGCTACCACCCTGCCCCTCAAAGGTTTAACATTGCGAGTGGTTCTTAAGATAGAGAAAGGAAGAGAAAAGTGAGCCCCGTATTGTCTGCTTCAGTGAGCGACACCGCCACAGTGCTCACAAGGGATGGAGGTGAGGAGGGATCAAAGGGTAGAAGTAAAGGTATAAAAAGAGGAAGAAGAAGCAACAACAAACTGAGGGGATAGGAGAGACAGGAAAGATGGAAGCACGGTCACTGGAGTCCGAGGACGGGGTACACTTGCGAGAGATGTTGTCGGCGTCTCTAGATGGTGTAGAGCAGGTCCAGTAGGTCAGAGCTACACTGTCGTCGAAGATTGTATTCCATTGGCCTAATTTTGACAGGATTCGGACATTGCTCGCACTCGCCTGACAAGCATACGTGCGAGACAGGGTTTGACGAAAACACTTTGGGACCTCAGGGGGTGCATATGAGTTTTCGCCTATCCAGCTGATGGTGATGCTTTGTCCTTTGTTCTTTATCGCTGGCTAGTGGTTATGTTGTCTCGTCGGGGCCCCGGCCTTCGCAGCGTGCACTCGTTTCCGCAGCCTCGAAGTCCCGAGGCAACTTCTTGCGATCGCCAACTGTATGTTTCTCTCAATTGTTCCTTCATTCTGCTTATTTTGTTCAGGGGAATGCGATCACTAGAGCGCTGGCCGAGGGGCCGGTTGGTGCTTCAAATATGGTTCTTTGTTTGTTGGTTTACAAGTGCGCCGGTAAGTTGTAAGGTATATTTTGTAAGTTGTATCAGCTAATTGGTGTCCAGGGTAAAATTGTCAAGTATTAAAATTGGCCGAAATTCTCCTGCCTCCGAAACGCAGTACGTGTTCGCACTGGACGCTAAATATGCCATTTACCATGGGACCAAGGCGGAGTAGATGCGCATACGTACGTACATACTGTCACACGGTTGTTATCGTGGCTCGCCAATGTCACTACACTATTCGGTGGTCTGGACTTCGATGATTCTCGTACGCCGGAAGCAAGAAGAAGCTGTACTGCTTACTTTGCTGGCGAGTCGCTTTCTTTCTTGTAATATATATATATATATATATATATATATATATATATATATATATATATATATATATATATATATATATATATATATATATATATATATATATATATATGAACCCACAAGGAAAATGATCACAGCGGGAATGTAGGCAAAATTTCACTATGTTGCAACATAGTCTCATAAGAACTTCATTCTTCTGTAAGAATGTAATTGAGTGTTACGGTTGGGATGGAAAACTACATTTTAATTGTTGGTTTTCCCAGCTTGTAGCCAAGAGTGAACACTTTCGAAAGGTGGGGGGGCTCAGCCCCCTAAACTTTTCTCAGCGGGAGGCTCGCACCCTCCTTGCCCCCTGGCTGATACGCGTATTGTTACAATGTTCATCTACGTGCACTGCAACATGACAAGTGAGTATACGGCTTGGCCGCCATTTTTCAAAATTTTCGACTAGACCTAGGCCTATTGGTCCGTGGCGACCGATTTCGCGGCACACGCTGCAAAAATCGGTCCGAGAGTTATCGGTGCGGACAGGGCACTTTCGGTGGATCTCGTGGCCGCCGAATGGGATTCCGCAGAGCCGCAATGCTAAGTGTGAACGCGCCTTCACAGCGGATTCCGGCGGCGGAGACCGCGGCAGAAAGCAGAGTGCGGGGCATTACAGCGTGAGCATGTTTTTTTTTTTTTTCGCGCGTGAACAAGAATCACTGCCAGAATCTTCTGGCTGCTTGGTGCGTGAGGGATAAACGAAAACTGACAGCCCAGTCCGGAAGCAAAATCGGAATGCCCCATTCTTCGCTCACGGGTTACACGTGAATAAATGGGTTACTTTATATTTCCTTTCGTGGAACTACCCCTGATTTACATTGTAACGCTATAAGCTGAGAAATGACATAAACGCATTGATGTGAGTCAAATTTACTGCAAGTAGTGGACGTTACTTGCATGAAAAATTAATGACGTTAAGTTACGACCTTCGAGTTTATTACACCTCAGTATACATAATGCAGCTGATGAACACTATGTAGGCTGTGATTTTGCTGTACTCACGCATGAAATTAAATCTTACGGTAGCGAGGATCTAATATTGTTACGTGGAAATAACAGTAGGCAGTCCGCAGCCACAACACAGCTCACCAACAACGTCGACTTCTACACTCTCAGTCTGAGGCGCCCTTTTTTGAGTATGTCCCACTACGCAGTCAGCCGAAACTAAGTAACACAACCCCCGGTGGCAAAAGTGCCGACACGGCGAGCTTACGGGGCCACACCAGGAGCAGTGCGGTAACGCTTGAGCTTCGATACGTGGACGATGTCCCAGTACAGCAGAGCTGGATAGGTTGATAGATCATCAGGAACAATTCCATATGCAGTGTCGGTCAATCGTCCAAGCACGCGGTATGGGCCCGGGAAACGAGAGAGAAGCCTCCGAACGGCCTGCGTGTCGCGTAGGGGACTAAACGAGGGAACCTGTCGGAAAGTGTTCGTCGCGATGCCGCTCGTCGTAACGATGGTTCTGTGAGTCTTGGGATGCCGTTAATCTGCTCCGGGCAGGCTGACGAGCTCGGGTAAGAGCGTCGCGTGCATATTCAGAGGTAGACAGCGCAGCGTCTGGCAGGAAGGTATCCAACGGCAATGTTGGTTCGCGTCGAAACAGAAGGTAGAATGGCGAGTACCCAGCAGTGTCATGCCGGAAGGTGGTGGTGGTGAAAACATTTAATAACCATTAAATGGTTACAGAGAGGTGATTGGGTTGGGGCCTTATTGGCCTCCTACCCTCACAGCACTAGGTGGAACCCCTATTCCGGGGCTCCATTGGCAAGCAACGCCGCCCGCGCACGTTGAACCAGAGCCTCTTGGGCCTTCAGGTCTTGACAGCCGAGCAGGGCCGCCTCCCAGTTCTCTCTCGTGGGATTGGGGTTGGGGGGGATAGATGGATTAGACTGGCACGCCCAAACGATGTGAAAGGTGTCAGCCACCTCACCACAGAACTGGCACGTGCCATCAAAGGATGAATTGAAATGTTTTAGCACCGCCGGGCACAGTACAGTATTTGTAAACAGTTTTAAAAGGAGGCGCTCGTCAGCGCGATGCAGTCCCTTACAAGGGTCTGGATAGCGCCGGTGCTCCTCCTTGTAGTAATTGGTAATATCTTTGAATGAAAGGGCCGAATTGTCTGATTGCGAGTAGGCTTCCAAAGACAGGGAGATAGCCCGGGAAGAGAGTGCGCGGGCGGCCTGATCGGCCTGTTCGTTACCCCTGAGTCCTTGGTGACCGGGTGCCCAAACCAGATTTCGCGGAGTTGGATCAACGTATCGGCAGCTAGGTTCCAGTATGCGCTGAGCAAGCGGTGAAGCCCACCCTAGCTGATAGTTCCGACAGGCCCCTCGTGAGTCGGTGATGATATGTTTAGAAGAGGGATAGGTGAGAGCCAGAGCGATGGCAACCTCCTCCGCGTGTGTTGCGCTGTAGGCTTTGAAAGTGAGCCCGTTTACGGTGTTTGCGTTGTGTATGACTGCGGCAGTATACCACCCCCCATGGTGCGGGCCGGCAACGTCCACGTAGCACACGTGTTCCTCTTGACCAAAGTGTCGCTGCAACGCTTCCGCGCGCGCCTGGCGGCGACCACTGTGGTTTTCTTTGGACATGTTGCGGGGAAGGGGTCGGACCCGGAGGGCGCGTCTCCAAGGTTCTGGCACTCTCACCCTTTCCTCAATATAGTAATCGTGTTTGATGTGTATTCGGTCCAAGAGGCGGCGACCGGAATGGGTCTGTGCAAGGCGCGTGTATTGGTTAACGAGGTGGGCTTCTCGAAGTTCCCGGTAGGTATTCACCACGCCTAGGGCCAGAAGTCTCTGGTTGGACGTGGTGATAGGGAGGTCGAGAGCCCGCTTGATAACTTTACGGTGGATGACCTCGAGTTGATCATCCTCGTGTTTGCGTAGGTGCAAGTAGGGAGTCGAGTAGAGTATTCTACTCGTTACGAAAGCATGGGCAAGCCGCATTGCATCCCTGCTTCGTAATCCGCCCCGCTTGTTGGAGACCCGGCGGACCATACGGCCCACCTGGTCTCCCACCGTGCGAAGTTTGGCTATTGTGGTGTCGGCCTTGCGTTGGTGGTGTATGAAGAGGCCAAGGACGCGGATCTCCTTGGCCTCACGGATCGGTCCCGAGGGAAGACTGATATGGAGCTGAGTTGTGTCCTGAGGGGAGGGACGTACGTGCACAAATTCTGACTTAGCCGGGGCACACTGGAGTCCGCAGTAGGTTGCGTAGTCGTCGACTACAGTCGCTGCTGCTTGCAGGCATGACTCCATGTGACCCAGGTTACCTTGCGTGGCCCAGATCGTGATATCATCCGCGTAAAGAGCGTGATGTATCCCTGGTAAAGAAGCCAATTTGGGGGGAAGATGAAGCATGGCTATATTA